AGAGCGGGCTCCCCTGAGGGGCTGCCCTCATGTGGAGGCTCCAAGCCTCTCAGGGTGCCCTGGGTCACCATCTGGCCCTCCGGCTCTGGATGGGGTTGGGAGTTTGAGGAGGCCATTGTGGACATGGCCAGGACCCCAACCTTGTCCCCCAGGTCCAGGGACGTGAGGGACATGACCGCACTTGTATCCACAGCCATTTCAGGGTTCAAGGTGGGGCTTTCAGCTCCCTCAACCACGTGGGATCCAGGTTCCCAATTCCCACCAGCACCGCTGGTGTCTAGTGTGGCCATGGAATTCATGGGACCCACTGTGGCTCCTCCGTCTGTAGCAGCCGAAGGCTCCAAACGCGGGGTGACCTTGGGCATCAAGGAGACCCTAGGGACCCCCAAGGGCGCAGATGGGGAATGGGGGTCTAGCCCTTCACTGTGCAGTGACAGCCACATGCCCTGTGCCTCATCCATGTTGGCCTGCAAGCTGGAAGTGGGGCTCTCTGCTGTGTTGAAGACCCCAGACTCAGACCCCAAGACGCCTCTGGCTCCCATGGGCTCAGTGGCAGTCTCAGTGGGAGTGACGGCTGCCACCACATTCCCACCCACAGAAGCCTGTGGGTTGGATCTGGGGTGCTCAGCTTTGCTGAGCCCAGTAGGGCTGGTCCCCACAATTTTTCCGAAGTCTGCTCTGAAGGAGTTAGGACCAGCTCCAGCTTGTGTGTCTGTGGCTGCCTGCAAAGGAGCTGTAGGACTTCCTTCTCCGTGGCTGCTGAGTGTCAGGGATGTGGCCTCTCCACCTTGTCCCGTCAGGCCCGAGGAGGAGGGCAGGGAATATACTTCTGGATGGATGGGATCCTGGGGTCTAGCCTCGATCTCCGAAGCAGGGGAGGGTGGGGCAGCGGCCATGGCTTCACTATACCCCTTTACCTCACTGGCATCGGTGGGGAGGGGCGTAGGATGTGACAGGAGCCACAGTTTGGGGCCACGAAGCATGGCCATGACAGGGAGGTCTGGAGAAATGACTGTGGGAGAAGCCTCCCAGCGGGCAGTGCTGGGGCCCTTCAAGGGGTTGGGAGCCAAGGCAGTGGCCTCCGAGGAGGACCAGGGCAGGTCGGGGGTGGCTGGCCTCACACTGGGGCCCTTGGCTTCCTCTAGTTCCAGGCCAAGGGTGATAGGTGGGACCATGGTTGGGGGCCACAGCCAGGGCTCTGGGGGGCTCCTGCCACCAGGGGAACCTGAAACAATATCAACAGTAATTATAATTAACTCTCAGCAGCTTCCTCTGTTGATTGTCTCCTTGGCTCCAGGCCTGAGGAAGAGGGGTCTTCTGAGGCTTGGTGAGGCCAGGGGACCCGACTGTGATTCGGAGCCCCCTCCCCTGTCCCCCTTACATCCCCAGGCAGGTCCCATCTCCCTCTCGGACCCCACTCACCAGCTCCAGGCACATCCACCTCATTGGTCAGCACAGCCCAGGGGCTTTGGCTCCGGCCACTCCCCAAGGCGTCAGTGGCTCCTGTGGCCAGGGGAGGCTCCACGAAATTCCCAGCAACCTCTGGGGTGGGGGGCTGGACGCTGGCCTGGAGCACGCCCTTCAGCCCTTGCTGGGGTTCCTGTTGCTGGAAGTGGCGCCCGTTCAACCCTTTAAAGCGCCCCCTCCTCCTGGGCATGGGGCTGGCTGGGGTTGCCTCTGTGTGCCTGCCCACCGCAGTGCCTGCCTCCACGTTGCTGGGGGCGGGGGACACCGTGCTCAGCCACACCTCCTCAGCCTCCAGAGCAGGCCTTGAGGCTAGTGTGAGGCCCCCAGTGGCAGGACTGGGGGTCTCTCGAGACTCCTGCTTCTCTGCCAAGATCAGAGGCTCTTCTTCCCCACTGGACACCAGAGGCTCCTGGAAGTCTGGGGTGACTACCTCCTCCTCCAGGCTGGGCTCCAGTTCTTGGGCGGGGGGCCCTTCTGCTGACAGAATCTCCCCCTCATCCCCAGACGACGGGGTGTCTGGGTTTCCATGTTGTGATGTAGGGTGATGAGCTGGGGGAGAAAGCAGAAGAGGCTGTGTTAGGCCCAGGGGCTGGCTGGGAAGTTCTGCCTGAAGTCTAGCCACATTCCAGCATGCTACAGCAGAGGTCTTCTATGCATCTCTGTCTCTCTGAGCTCCTCTGTCCCTCTGGGTTGTTTCTGGGATCCCCCCTGACTGAGAGACAGAGGCACAAAGTTATCATCCTCACTGTTCAGGCTGGGGTCCACTGTCAAGGTCAGAGTCAACTGGTCACAGTAAAGGGTCAAGAGACAGCTTGGCTGGTGCGTGAAGCTGAGCAGTGGCCAGCTCTCAGGGGGGCAGGTCAGACCTGGGCCGTGGCTCCTCCCACGGAAGAGAAAGCGCCTAATGGGCATGGCCTTCCTACGAAGAGATTCTCCGCCCCCCCCCACCCCCGCCCCGCCTTACACATAAGACTCAGCTCCTTGGACTTGAGGTTTGCAGCTTCTGAGGGTGTGGCCCCACCCCAAGGGTGAAGGCCATCCCTTGTCCCATCCCTGGGGTGTGGCCTTGCTCAGGGGTCATGGCTAGTTGAGGCATCACTTCCTCCCCAGTGGGTGCTCATGGGCAAGGCTCCAGGTGAGAACTGCTCCATCCAGCGGCGTGTCTCTCAGAGATCTCAGGAGACATAGCCCACCCACTAAACAGGACTTCCTCCCAGAGCTTGGTCTTCTCTGGGGCTCGTCCTCCTCTAAGGCGGGGCTCCTACGGAAAGCTTGTCTCAGGGGTACGACCTTTCCCTGCGGGCGCGGCTCACCGCGCAGCAAGTTTTCTTGTGTCTCTGCCTGGCCTGCCTGGCCTCCACCACTACTAGAAAGCCAAGCTCCCGGGGGCGCGGCCGGTATCAAGGTGCATGCCCTTGGGGCGTGGCCACCCGGGGACGCACACTCAAAGGGCGTGGCCTCACGCGCACCTCGGAAGCAGTAGGCGTCGTAGCGCTCTCCCGGCGCCGGGAAGCGGGTGCGGTTGGCGAAGCTATAGACGGTGCGCACGCCCGGGACTGGGCCCCCGCAGCGCCGGCGCGGCGTCTGGATCGGGTAGCGCACGCTGCCGTCGGCCAGCCAGCCCGGGTCGCACTGGTCCAGGCCCTCATGCCAGGCCAGGTGCAGCTGTCCTACCGAGGCCAGCACGGCGCCCTGGCGGCGGCACTGGGCCCGCGCGCCGGCCAGTGTCAGGCGGCGGGCCAGACCTACGTAGAAGACCTCGCCTGCGGGAAGGCGCGGGAGAAGGTCAGGGGGGCCCCAAGAACCCTCCCACGGAGCCCGGGAAGGGGGTCCCACCCCAAAGAGCCCTGATCTGGCTGGATCTGGGTTGCGGCAGCCGCAGCTGCGTGCCCCCATCGCCAGAACATCACTGTCGTTACCTCTCATGCAGTGCTAAGAGGGGGCTTCACTTTCTTTTTCAAGTGAGGTAACTCAGGCCCCTTAACGAGTTGAGCTTCAGAGAGAGGGAGGGCCTTGGTGAGGGGGGCTCAGTGAGGAGGGAAGTAGGAAGAGGGAGGGGGGCAGGAAGGGGGAGAGACTCAGAGAAGGGGACAAGGCTTCAGAGAGGGAAGAGGCTCAGAGAGAGGGAAGGGGCACAGAGGAGAGGGGCTCAAGGGGTGGAGGAAGGCTCAGGGAACAGGTGGGCTCAGATCTTGGCTGCAGGTTTAGAGAGGGATGAAACTTAGGAGAGCTAGGAAGGACTTAGGGAAGGATGGGGGTTAGGGAGGTAATGGGGCTCAGGGAAGGGGGTGTTCTGCCAGCCCCAGACTTACCCCCCAGCTCACGGGCAAAGCAATACACATCGTAGAGTTCCCGTGGGTCTCGCCTCCCATAGTTCCTCACCCCTGGAAGGCTGCTACGGTCACCATAGCAACCAGGACGGGACTGGGTGATAGGATACCTGACAAGACAAGGTGGGGGTCCCTCTCAGATGTGTGCTCCTGGGGCCCCCAAGGACCATCTTTCTCCAGGGGCTAGCTCTCCATCTCCCTACCCTGTGTACCCCCTCACCGAACAGTGCGGTCAGAGAGCCACCCGGCATCACAGTTGTCAAAGCCATCCTCGAAGGCAGCCTGCAGGTGCCGCGGGGCTGCAATGGTGGCTGAGTTGAGACGGCAGGCCTCCTGGGCCTCAGCGAAGGTCAGCGAGTAGCGATCCTGGGCTGCTCGGTAGTGGAACACAACACCTATGGGGAAACATCCAGGATGATTTATGCTGTAATCTTCAAGAACAGACCTCGCTCTTGAAGGATGCCCCCCCCCCCAGTCTGATAATAACAGACCTGCTGCCCTGCACTGCCCTGTACCATGTCTGTTCACTCAGCAACAGGCATAGTGCTAGGGTGATGATGGGGGGTGAGACTGATATGCCCCCATTTTACAGACGAGGAAATGATAGCAATGGCCATAAAGGGCTAGAATTTGTTAAATATTTGCTATGTAAAAAGCATTTATAAGCATTATCTCATTGAAATCTTACAACAACCCTATGATTATCCCCATTTCCAGAGGAGCAAACTAAGGCGCAGAAAGGTTGAGGGACAGGTCTAAGGCCACGTAACCTGTATAAGGGAGAGCCAGAAGTTATATCCAGAAAGATCTGACTCCAAAGATAGCACTCTTCATGCCTAGGGTTAGGCTCTGGAGGTGACAGGAGGCATGCAGAAGAGTGAGAGAGAGATTCTGCCTTTTAGGAATTAAGTACATGCATACAGAGGGGAAGCAAAGGCAGCAATGGGTGATCAAATGTGGTGGGTTTTTAAAAAAATTTTATTTATTTATTTTTGGCTGCATTGGGTCTTTGTTGCTGTACGTGGGCTTTCTCTAGCCGTGGCGAGCAGGGGCTACTCTTCGTTGCGGTGCACGGGCTTCTCATTGCAGTGGCTTCTGTTGTTGTGGAGCATGGGCTCTAGGTGTGCAGGCTTCAGTAGCTGTGGCACGTGGGGTCTAGAGCACAAGCTCAGTAGTTGTAGCACACAGGCTTAGTTGCTCCGCGGCATGTGGGATCTTCCCAGACCAGGGCTCAAACCCGTGTCCCCTGCATTGGCAGGCAGATTCTTAACCACTGCGCCACCAGGGAAGCCCCCAAATGTGGTTCTTGCCCAGCTTAGAAATGGAGTCACCGAAGGCTTCCTGGGGGAGGTGACATGTAAGCCAGGACATGAAGCATCAATAAGCTCACTGTGACTCAAATTCTGATTTAGGGATGAGAGAAATGGCTGAGCAAAACAAAGGTATTAAACATTTTGCTCCATTTTATCAAACTAAGAGCTCCCAGAAGGCAGCAGCTGTGTCTCACTCATGGCTATGTCTCCAGCACCAGGCTGGCATGTAGTAGCTACTCAATAAATGTTTGGCTGAATGAACGAACTAACCAAACCCAGAGGTAGAATTCTCTTCTTTCACGACTTATCAGTTTTCTTTGAGGTTTATCAGTTTTGAGAACAATGCCTTGGAAAGGGGATGATTGGTTGACCCCATAAAATATGCAGTGAGACACTGTTGGCTGGGCAAAGACTGTGCTCCAGAACAGAGGGTGCAGGGACTTTGCTCATGGCCAACATAGGTTAAGGGAAATTGACTTCCCAGTAGGAGTCCACAGGATATTCTCCACACAACAATCCATTCATTGGGCTTCCCTGGTGGGGCAGTGGTTAAGAATACACCCGCCAATGCAGGGGACACGGGTTCAAGCCCTGGTGCAGGAAGATCCCACATGTCTTGGAGCAACTAAGCCCGTGCGCCACAACTACTGAGCCTGTGCTATGGAGCCTGCGAGCCACAACTACTGAGCCCACAGGCACAACTACTGGAGCCCATGCTCTGCAACGAGAGGCCACCGCAATGAGAAGCCCGCACACCGCAACTAAGAGTAGCCCCCGCTCGCTGCAACTAGAGAGGGCCCACACGCAGCAATGAAGACCCAGTATGCAGCCAAAAAACCCCACAAATCCATTCATTGATTCATTCGTCAAATATCAATTGATCATCTTCTGTGTGCCATGCCTTGTCCTAGGACTTTGCTTTAATAATTAAAAAAAAATTTTTTGGTCTTGTTCATCTTGATTGGTTAGGAAAACAGAAACTACACTGACTATTTCAACAGAAACAATTTAATATAGGAAATGGTTACACTGATGACTTATTTACTTAATCTATATTTTCAATCCATTTTTTAAAAAGAACTTCACTTTTTAAAAACATATATTTATTTTAAAAGGAAATTTGTATTCCTATTTTAAATAGAAAGCCAATATTCTTTGCCTTATGTGAAAGCAGGTAACCATGAAATGGACTTAAAACAAGGTTATGAAATCCTATGAAATGCTGTGGTCCATAAGAGACTGAGCCAGAGGCTGCTCTCTCTTAGCTAAAAGAGAAGGAGAGAGATGTTAAAGAGAGAGGCGTACCCATGGAGACTTTCTTCCTGACTTTATCGGAAGAACTGAAAGCAAATCACTGTTCAGGGAGTGATTTCTTTTTCTTTTCTTTTCTTTTCTTTTTTTTTTTTTTTTGCTTGTGGGATCTTAGCTCCTTGACCACGGATCAAACCTGGGCCCTTGGCAGTAGAAGTGCAGAGTCCTAACCACTGGACCACCCCCTCTGGGGGGGTTTTTTTTTTTTTTTTTTTTTTTTTTTTTTTTTTTTTTTTTTGCTTGTGGGATCTTAGCTCCTTGACCACGGATCAAACCTGGGCCCTTGGCAGTAGAAGTGCAGAGTCCTAACCACTGGACCACCAGGGAATTCCCCAGGGAGTAATTTCTAAGGTGACATTCAGTGGATGGGCTTCCCCATCCCAGCCTCGGCCCCTCCCCTTCCCCCAACTGACCCGTCACTTCCAGGGGCACCAGGTCCTGCTCATCCTCGATGCCCCTCACCACCTGGCAGCGGTAGAGCCCGGAGTCGCTGGCCCTCAGTGGCCCCAGTAGCAACGTGGCGTTGACCCGGTGCCAGGGGTAGGCAGGTAGTGACACGCGTCCCTGCCAGCCCTTGGCCACTCGAACCACGTTGTCCTTGGCCACTAGGATGGGCAAGTCCTGCCGTTGGCCTGATGCAGTCCGCACCTTGGTCCACTTGATCCGAGGGGCTTCTCGGGCTGCACCTGGCCGTGGCCACAGGGTGAAGAGACAGGGCAGGGCCACCAGCTCTGCCAGCGCAGCCCGCACTGACCCAGACCCCACCTTCTGCATGTGGAGCCCCTTCTCGGCAGTGGCAGCAGCAGTGGCGTCCTGTGTGCCTGGGGTGGAGAAGGTGGAGAGAGGGCCTGACTGAGAAGCCAGGACCCTCTGGCTAAGGCCAGAGAGGTTAGGTTGCCTACACAACATCACAATGTCGTACACAGATCTGTGACCTGCAACCCAATCTGTGAGCAGAAGAGGGGTAATGGGGTCGAATCCCTTCATAGTTCTGCCTCCTCTCAAAGTCCAGACCCTGGAGGCCAGGGATTTAACTCTCAGTGTCACTGACTCACTATGTGTCCATGGGAAAGTCACTATTCTGCTCTGAGCCATGGTTTCCCCAAAAGTTAAGTGATAGGCAGCCACTGGAAGAGAAACAGTGTTTGTGGAGTACCTTCTGTATAACAGGCACTTTATAAATAGCAATCAGCTCATTTGATTTTCATAACCATCTGCAGAGGTAGCCGTGTCTCATCCTCTTTTGGGGGAGTTGAGGAAATCGAGGCTCAGAGACATCATTATAATTGCGTAAGGCCACAGAGCAAATCAGGAGGCATTGCTAAAGTCTGGGCTTTTGACCGCTACTGGGGAGATGCCAGGGAGAGGCACACAGACCTTTATTTCTATTGTCCCACCCAGGCAGGCATCACTAATCAATCTTCATACTATTCTCTCTCCCTCTTTTTTTTCTCTCTCTCTTCAGCTCATCTCAGCAAAACAGTGAGAGGCGGGAAACTCTAGTCTCCGCTGGCAATGACTAAAAATAACCTCTCAGGTGTCTTGTTCGCTTTTGACTGTTCAAAGACTTTTTTCATCTATTCTCATTTTATTCTCCAGACCAAGCCAGAGAACCAGCAGGAGAAGGCTCTCAAGTTAAAAAGCTGCCCCATCTTGTCAATTCTCCAGACCCCAACCTCTCCCACCCCACAAGCCAACTCACCCTGTTCCCCAGCCACAAAGAGCAGCATCTGGAGAATCAGGAGGCCTGAGACCCAGACAGACATGGCCCCCATCCTGGACCTGAAACAAGATGGAGAGGAAGGAAGGGGTGAGTACAACCCTCCTAGACAGTTGGCATGAAAGCACCAATTCCTCCCACTCTGTAGATCTGGAAACTGGGGCTCAGAGCGGCCAGTGTGCCACTCAAGGTCACACAGTCAGAAAGCCAGAGCTGAGCCAGAATCCGAACCCAGGACCAACTGACTTCAGAATCTGAGCAGTGAAGTCCTATGGTCAGAGCATGGATGCTGGAGGGAATCAAACCTGGGGTTGTCTTTTGCCTGTTCCTTGCTAGGTGACCTTGAGCAAGTAGCTTAGCTTCTCTGTGCCTCAGTTTCTTTGCAGGTCAGATGGGGATAATATGAGGTAGTGGGAAGGGATAGATGAGTCAATATAGTCAATACATATAAAATGCTGAGAACTGCCTGGCATGAAGGAGTAAATTTCAGCTGCTATTATTATTATTGACTTTAACATAGCCAAGATCAAAGTCCCAAATCAAATTGGGGGCTCCTAGAGAGCAGCAGCCAGTCCTAGTCTGCCTGGGGTCCCCAGTTCTGGCAGCAGACTGGACTCCAAGCTAGCCTGTAATCTGGGTTTGCTGACTGACACGATTCTCAGCTTCAATTCCAGAATTTGGTTGTCGCCAAGATTCTATTCCTGGTTTCTGGGATTTTTGAAGAGCTGCCAAGTCCCAGCTGGAGGAAGGGACCTCGCCCTCGCCCACCCCATCCTCCCCCCGAATTCATACTGACTGGTGAAGATGCCTTCTAGGTCCACAGAGAAACTCCAGTTGTGGGTCTAGACTCCTACAGGGGTTGTGGCACATGAGCACAAAGTGGACAAATAGTGAGCACTACCTGTAAGCAAGGCCCATTCCAAACACTGGGATACAGCAGTGCCCTCCCAAACCTCACATTCTTCCAGAGACTAGAAACCCTGGGGTGGTGGTGCATCCCAACCCTCTGGAACCCCCCTCCCCTTCCGCCTCTGGGGGGGCTCGGAAGGTGGGGGCAGATGGGAAGTTAGAACATCACCTGCAAACCCAGCCCTTGCACCCTCCTCCTGAGAAAAGAATAGCCAGTGTGGATGGAGTGCAGAATAGGGTCCTGTGGGGGGCAGCTGGCCCCACCTTAGGGAGGCAGGCCGGGGACCTGTCCGTGGTGCTGAACACTGGGGCGGCAACGCAGTGGCACTACCCACCCCCTTGGTCTCCTTCTTGCCATCTTAGGGCAGCATCTCGGGGTCCAGAGAGGGTGAGCGGTTTTCCTGGGACTGCACAGCAGGGCAGAGGCCAGCTTCTGGGACGGTGCCCCTAACTACCGACTTGTAAACCTCAGCAACCTCTGCCTCCATCCCGGGCTGTCCTCATTTCTCCCCCTCGGAACCCTGAGCGGGGTGGGGTCCCCTGATGGCTGTCCAAGGCCTGGATGGGTATTAGAGGGTGGGGCAGGACTCTGGGCTGCACCTACCCCAAGAGAGTTTTAGGAGGGGGCAAGTTCAGAGAATTCTCATGCACGTGTACACATACTCTGTATGGTTAAGAGCTCAGACTATATCCACATGACTTGGCTTCAAACCCTGCCTCTACTCCCTACATGTTGCATGATCCTAGACAGCTGCTTCATCACTCTGTGCCTCAGTTTTCCCACCTGTAAAATGGGGATCAACCAGCACATACTTCAGAGTGTTATTGTGAGAATGGAATGAGCTAAGACTTGTGAAGACCTGTGAGAATGGAATGAGCTAAGACTTGTCAAGTCCAAGAAATGTTCACTTAAACAACAGCTTCTTATACACAAAGCCTTGTGTACACACTCAAATATGCAATGGTGGTCCAACAAGGTGACACACAAAGGTTCAGTTGCACTCCCCCCCACACCCTCCCACACACACTCCATCCCCTCCAGTTGCACCTCACACACCCACACCCCTTCTCTTCAAATACCTCTTCCCCAGGGCCACAAGAGGTGAGCATTTACACAGCTGTCTGGGGCTTGTCCCCTCATTGATAATGCATGAGCCTCATACATATGCAAGTAGGGGCCTGTGGGGCTTTGTGGGAGGGGTGGCCCAGGAGGGGAGAGAGAGAGAGAGTGTGTGCGCGCACGCGTGAGCGCGCGTGTGTCTCCTCCTCCCTCACATCCACCTCCTGTCTCAAGCCACTGAGTGAGGGTGAGTTTGCCAGTAGGCATTTTTGTGTGTTTGTGCCTGGGTGTGCATCCAGGCAAGGATATCCATGAGGTTGCCCCCTGTGGTGTGTGAACATGTACGAGGGTCCACAGCAGCAATATGCACTGGGTGGGGCGTAGGGGACCCAGTGTAGTCTCTGGATGTGTGGGTTCAAGTACCCCACAGCAAGGGCTATGAGCACACGTGTGTATGTGTTACTGGCCTTGGAGTCAGAGCGTATTTGTGTGCATGGGCTCGAGCATGGAACTCCTTGGAGAAGAAAGGAAACTGGGCTCACTAAATCATCCCAGGTTGTCCCTTGGAGACCTGAACCCCTGTCAATGTCTCTCCATTAGCTCCCCAACTCTGTACACAGACCACATCTCACACTCACCCACTCAGGGTCCACGCTGCCAATCACATGGAGAGGACCCTTGCTGCACACACGGGACACATACACAGCCACACACTCTAGGCTCAGAGCCTAGGAGACACACACACTCACAGATTCACAGTGACATTAACAAAGAGAGACAATATGGGCACTTACAAGCCAGGCAGCACGTCTTCTGCACAAAGACACACACCCACAGTCTCAGGCTCCCCACATAAACCCCTCGATGAGGCCACTCTGTCAGACACAGTTCCTCACACACACTCACTCACGTAGCTGCCAGCCCCTGGCACAGACCAGGCTGGATAAATTGTGGCTTTGGTGACTGGTGGGCACACATCATTTTGCCTGGTGAAGTGGCCCCCAGCACAAGTTTCCTGACAAAAACACAACCTTGGTCACATTAGAGTCACAGAGGACCCCCGGTCCCCCCATAAGCGCACGCCTTCTCCCAGTACGGGGTAGACACACACACACACACACACAAAGTCCCTACCTCCTGGGGGATGCCTTCTGTTTGGAAACGTCCACAAGCCAACGAGGCTGCCGGGGTTTGGGGTCCCATGGTCTGCCCAGCCCTCACTCCCGGCCCTTGCCCCACATCCCCCGCTGGGGCCCAGCGCCAACCCTCTCCTCAGCCTGGCTGTCTCCCATTAATGCTGCTGAGAGGAACAAAGAGGAACAGGGATGGGGATTGCTCCTGCCCAGGCTGGGCCTGGGGTCCTAGCCCCCTCCTTCCCAGCGCCTGTGCCCCCAAGCCAAGCCAGGACTTCCACATGCATCCATGTGGCCAGATGGAACGGAAGGCGTGGGGCAAGGATCTGTGTCTGGCTGTGAGGATGTGGCCAGATGTGGAAGTACTGGGGTGGCTCCCCCCTAGAGATTGGGTGCTCTTTACGGGTCCGTGGGATCCACAACTGGGGGCTTTAAGAGGCTCTCAACTAGCATTAACCTCGGAGACACAACGTGCTCCCTGGGAGAAGGGACAGCACCCCAACTCCAAGTCCCAGGGAACAACAGGGAGCACCTTGGGATGGAGCCCCCAGAGCCTCGTCCCTGAGTCAAGATGTGGTGACAAGACTTGAGCCAAAAAGACAGGGAGACTGCAGGGCACTCCTTCCCTATTGGGGTTTTACTCTTAGGGCAGACCCCGTCCATTGGGCTCAGGCTGGTCTGGGGGCCTCCTCCCTGCTGCAGTCCAGCCTGGAATTCTGCATTCATCTGCAAATTGGGAATCTCCACTTAAAATCTTGGGGTGTCTCAGCTCAGACACGGGGTGCCCTGTTCCAGAGTCCCACACACAACGTGTGGATGTCCCCCTTTTCTCTCTAAACTCGGGGTGCCCCTTCCCTAGCCTTGGTTCCCAGTGCTTCCCCAATTCTAAGACCCACCCCCAGCCCGGCCCCTTCCCCATCGCGGGGTCGTCTCCGAATTCCCCAGACAACCTTGCTCCCAAATCCGAATCCCCTTAACATTCCCAAGCCCTCTCCCAGTGTAGGTTCCCTCCCCAACCCGGGGCTTCCCTCCCCCTCTAAACCCCCTCCCCATTCTGGGGGCTTCTCTCTGATCCCCCCTCCCCAATCTCGGGCTGCGTTTCTATTTTCAAGGACCTCCCCCTCAACGCGGCCCCCTCCCCACGATGGACCCCCACCTGGCTCCTAGCTCGGACGCATCCCGGGGCGGTCAACCGGCACAAAGGACGCTCTGGCTGCGCTCAATCCGCGCCGGGTCCACCCTTGAGCCCTGTGCTCCGCTCGCCCCAGCGCCGCCTCAGCGCTTATAAAGGGGCCGCGGGGCTGCTCTGCGCATGCGCTCCCGTCAGCCCAACGCCTCCAACTGCGCGAGGGAGGGTGTTCCCTCTGCCTCAAACCCCCTCCCTATTCCTACGACCACTCACCCCACCCCAGGGAAGACTATTCCTGACTTCCTCCCATTCACTTCACCCCAGGTGCCACGTTAAGTGTCCCCAGACGCCCCGCAGTGGGGCCTGCTCCATCTTACAGATGGGGAAACTGAGACCCCAGGGAGACGAAGTCTCTCCCAAGGTCACGCAGAGGGGAAGGACTGAGCTGGAATTCCAACCCTGGTCTGCCTGACTCGGCAGGTTCACACTTGAGGCAGTTTTGGCTACAGTTACTGTTTTACACCATGTATAGAGAGGCAGCTGAGGCTCAGAGAGGACAGAAAGCTCCCTGGTTCACACAGCTGGTAAGAGACTTGCAGAGTCAGAGCCCAGGTGTGTCACACCCAGAGCTGTTTCTGCCCGCGCCAGCTAGAACTATCATTCATTCATTCATTCATTCCCTTATCTAGTTAACTTCTGTGGAGCACCTGCTGTGGACCGGGTACAGTTGTTACAGAAATACTTTTGCTTTGAGCAGGCAGCATGTGCGTGTCTTTGCAGGGAGACCCCTGATCTTAAAAGGTCTACAATAGAATATTATTCAGCCATAAAAAGGAAAGAAGTACTAATATATGTTACAACATAGATGAATTTTGAAAACGTTATGCTGAGTGAAAGAAGCCAGACACAAAAAGTCACCGTATGAGTCCATTTATATGAAGTGTTCAGAACAGACAAATACAAAGGCAGAGAGTAGATTAGTGATTACCAGGGGCTTGGGGGAGGGGGGACGGGGAGTGATTGCAAATGGGTACAGGGTTTCCTTTTAGGGTGATGGAAATGTTCTAGAACTAGATAGTGGTGATGGCTGCACAATAATGTGAGTATAGTTAATGCCACTAATTGTACACTTTCAAATGGTAAATTTTATGTTCTGTGTATTTTACCACAATGAAAAATGGAAATGAAGGACAACAAATACTTAAAGAAATCAGCCCTCTACCCAGCTGGCCTTCCTTCCCAGGGTCTTAGTTTCTCAGCACTGAGAATGGGCTGTGGTAGTCGGAGGGTCTGTTCACTCCACCAGTGTCCTGCATCTGTGTGTATGTGTGTGTGTGCATCTCTGAGGGTGGGTTTCAGTCTGGTGGGGGGACAGACAAACAGGAAACTAGATGATTTCGGCAAGATTACCAAAAAAGGGGTGAGAATGAGTGAAGGATGAAGACCCCAGGGGAGCAAGGTTGCCCTGGAAGGTCTGTGTCAGACTGCTGTTCCAGGGGTGGGCTAGTGGTGGCCATAGGGGTCAAAGTGGCACAATGGGGAACTATGCTCACTGTCCAACTTCTCATCACAGAGGAGGGATGGGGGTCGGGGATCACACTGATATAAGTGTCTGCAGGTGACAGGCTGTGCGGACAGGGATCTGGGTGACGTGTGTGGGAGCTGCAACTTGGCCTCACAAGTCCACAGTTCAAAACCCCTCTCTGGGGAGTTCCCTGGGGGTCTAGTGATTAGGATTCGGCACTTTCACTGCTGTGGCCAGGATTCAATCCCTGGTTGGGGAACTGAGATCCTGCAAGCCGTGTGGCATGGCAAAAACAAACAAACAAAAAACTCCAAAAAACCAAAACCCTCTCTGCAACTCCTAACAGTGGTGTAACTCTGGGCCAGTCATTTCGTCTTTCTGTGCCTCAGTTTCCCTGTCGAAAACAGGGATAGTTAAGAGTAACCTCCTCACAGGGTTGCTGGGAGAATGAAATGGGAAGTAAACACACAAGCTGGGGGCTGCTATGGGAAAACTGAGGCTCGGGGAGATAGGACATGCACTTGAGGTTGCAGAGTATGGGTAGGGGCCAAGTGGGAGTCCAGGTCTGTGGCTTCAGAACCAAGTTGATCCCCATCCTGACTCCGCCCACCCTTTCACTCCCCCACCCCCTGGCTCCCCTGGCTGGTGCCAGGGCTGAGCTTAGAGGGGCTGGCCTGGAGCCCGGGAGCAGGCTGTTGCTGGGGGCTTGAATGAGGCAACCTTGCCTGGGAATCTGCCGGGCTCAAAGAGCTATTTATAGGCCTGCACTGGGAATGGGCCAACCACCCCCCTCCTCCAGCCCTGAGTGCTCTCTCTGTCTCCTCTACACTGGGGCCTGGGCCAGGGGCTGCTGCGAGTGCGGGGAGGGAGCAGGGGCGGGGGCTTGTGAGCCAGAACAGGAGCAAGGAGGCAAGACCCTCCAGGACATCTGGGAATCAGGGATGGACAGTGTCCCCCGAAGTGCTTTTCACACACCCAAGGGGACGTACTGACAGGGCACATGCAACCATATTCACTCCTGTCACATACAATGTTACCAATAACCACTGATACAAAGCCATATGCCAGAGACAGTGACAGCACAGGCAGCTCATATACAACCATACCCAGCCAGGCCACGTATAAGTCACACTGGCCATACATAAGTCATGTCTGCTGCACAACCAAACTCACAGCTGTGAGCCCAGCTGCACCTAGTCCCTTCACACTCAAACACACCCATTGCTGTGCACACCCACCGAAACTTAGCCTTCCTGGCAGCCACAAACAGCCCACATTTGCCCCATGTTGTTTACACCCTACTATGTTTACAGCCGTGGCATTACCTACAGACAGCCAGCAGCCAACCATGATCACTTGACACCAAGTCACCAACATGGAGACAGTCCCCCCGGGGCCATGCTCACAGCACAGCCACTCATGCTCAATACTCAGCATGGCCAGTCGGCCAGTCGTGGCCCTAGGTGTTCTCACGTAAACTCAGCTCAATCCCTTCATGCTTGGCCGACCTCTCTCATGCCTATTGTCATCTCCACTTCCCCAGGCTTCCAGGCTCCCAGGCTTGCCCCCTGCCAGGACCAACAAGTCCAGTTGGAAACGAGTGAGCATCCGTTTACTCTGAGCTGGGCCCTGTGGTACTCATGCAGGCCCCGGTGGATAAATCAGACCCGGACCTGCCCCACAGAGGGGCTGCCAGCCCAGAGGACTCCATCACCCCCATCCCACAGACCCTCCAGGCTGGAGTCTTGGGGCAACCATTACACTTATTCCCCAGGGGGAACTGAGGCCTGAAGCAATCTGAGGGCTTTTCCCTGCCCTACTCCGGGATGACAAACTCATGGGAAGTGGGACCTGTTTTCTGCCATGAGTGTGGCTGCCTCTCCAGAGAGAGTCCCTGCTGACCCATACTTGCTGTGTGACTTCAGCAAATCCCTGACCCTCTCTGAGCCTCCAAGTCCTCTCCTGAAAAATGCACAGCTCAGCTCAGTGGAGAGAGTGAGCTCTGGAGAGAGCTTCAGAGTCAGACTGGGGTTTATATCCTGGTTCCCCTCGGTGACCTTAGCCAAATGACTTCTTTGCTTCAGTTTCCCTCAGCCAACCAGAGTTACAGCTCCTGGCTCTTCCTGACCTCCCTCTGCCCCATCCCCTGGGGTGAGGGAGGAGGGAGTGCCTAGTCTCTTCTCACTAAGGCAAATGAATGGACCACTTTTGGCTGCCCTGCTGGGAGCTTAGATTTGCTAATTCCCTGGAGAAACAGGAGGCTCTTTCATGACCAGGCACCGGTGGGGTGAGGAGGCGGGAAGGGGGTACAAGCTGGCTTTATCCCAGTGGGCAAGGTGGCTCCATGCCAAGACCAGGAGTGGCAAGGGGGGCCCTGGGGCCATGCATATCCTCCCTGGGGAACCTTGGCTGCCAAGTGGCTGAGTGGCCGTATCCTCAGCTGTAAAATGGGAGTGACAGAGACCAGAACAGCAGATTTAATGATCCTGTGGATGGAGACAAACGTGGCTTCAAGTTAAACACAGGGTAGGCTCTCAACAAATGTCAGCCACTGTTGTTATGTGTCAGTCTGCAGAGCCCACTGAATTCTCCAGCAGTCCTATAGATTTCCCTCCATTTCACAGATGGGGAAACTGAGGCTCAGAGAGGTCAACATATTTGTCCAAGATCACACAGCCAATGAGTGAGTGGCCCAACCAGGATTAGAACAGGATCTGGGCCCTCCAGGGTCCATGCTCTTCCCAAATTCCTCTAGGGGTAGGGAGGTGTTTTTTGACACCCCAGCCCCGGCCCTGAGACCAGCAGAGCCAGGTCTGGATGGCACCAGGCCATGACTGAATGCAGCAAGTCCTGGCAGGCAGGGGCTGATGGGGCGGCCCTTCCGCTGGTGTCCCAGTTTCCCAGCCAGCCTCCACTCCTGGTGTGGACTTGGGCAGACACTAGTAGGATGCCAGGAGGACCATTCCCCTAGCCCTTGAAGAAAGGGACTGGATCCCAGACCATTCAGTTAAAGCCAGGAACTGCAGCCTCCTGCCAGTGGCTGCTCTGTCTCAGAACCCTCCATTCATGCAGATTGGATGGGTGTGCTGCCCTTTCTCAAACACCTTCCGTGACTGCTTTAGGCCCAGCAGGATCTGGCTCCACATATTTTATTCAAATTCATGGTCTTTCATCCAACTAGGCCTTTGCTTATGCTGTTCACCCTGTCTGCCCCCGCCGCCCCCCAATTTTTCTCACCCTGGTGAATTCCTGCCCACCCATTAAAGTGCAGGACAATATCCCCTCTCCCAGGAAGCCCTCCCTCCAGGTAGACCCCCTGCTTCCCTAGCCCTATCTCTCCCCCTGGCTCAGCCCTGGCCCCATGGGTCTCTGAGTGTATGTGTCTAGTTCTGTCTTCCCCAGATTGGGAGATCTTCAGATATGGGGCTGGAACTGAGGCCTCTCACAGTCCTCAGAATCACTCAGCACAGGGCTGGGCAGTAGGGAGTGGCAGTTGTTTAGTGAATCAGAGAACCAAACCTTTAGCCGTGTATCTGAGGTTTTGTATAATCCGGTTTGGCAAACTCCTCTTCATTCTTCAAAACCCACCTCACATTACCCCTCGTCCAAGAAGCCTGTCCCAGGCAGCATTTACTAAGAAGACAGATTTGGAAACCGGGCCTCCTGTGTCCCAGTGGGGACACGCGAGGCTGATAAAAACTTCCAGTACAGTACTCGCACCATCGTAGCCTCTTCCTTAACTCTTCCTTTGGCCTCTGGTAGGCAGTGAAATGCAGGGGTTCCCTGGCGGCAACTGCAATCAGAGAATGAATTCGGCCGACTTCATTCTGCCGGTAGGAAGACATCATTATAAGAAGGCTCTCGGACACCAAAACTAGGGCTCTATACCCGCGGGCACCAAAGGACAGCTCCCGTACACAGTGGACACACAATTGCTTTAGATACCGGCCTTTTTCCTCCAGCTCCGAGGGATAGGCAATCACTGGACGAGGACCTTTTAAGAGGCGGGCGCTGAGGGGGCGTGGCTCAAACTAAACCGCGCCCCGGGAGCGGGGGCTGGGCGAGCCGGAGGCACTCTGCGCCTGCGCGGTGTTCACGCGGTTCCGGGAACTGATGTTGGTTTCCCAAGCTGTTTGCAGAGAAACTGAGGCACCGAGAGGGAGCGACTGCTCCCGAAACCCACAGGAAACCCGTTTCCCTTCCTTGGACCCACTGTGAAAGGCTTGGCCTCGGGTCATCGGCAGTGTCCCCGAAACTCCAAATTTTTCTGGCAAGGGGGTGGTCAAGGCGACATTTAGGACTGGAGTGACGGGGCAGTGACTGTTCTTGTGCCGTGCTACAGGTGAGGACGTGAAGACTCTGAGACTCTGAGCGTGAACAAGGTCGCGCTTTGGCGGCCGGGATTTGAACCCGGACTGAGCCCAGCTCTTAGTCCTGCGAGGCCTTGTGGAACCGAGATGACCCACTCTTTGGTTTGTCCAGAGACAGTGAGCAGGTGAGAGCCCCGGGCAGGGGTGGGGTGTGAATGGCGGCGGGCAGTAGGGGACGGGGCCGCTGGCCTGGGATAGTCCCTCCCTAGTGGACAGAAATGGGGGAACCGGTGGCGAGGGAGGGGTGGGCCCAGTAGTGGGCGGGCCCTCGCCGCAGGGCTCAGCACCTCTCCACACGCCGATTCTGGTTGCCTCTAGGGTGAGTTCGGTGCTGAATCGTAACACTCGGCAGTTTGGAAAGAAGCATCTGTTCGACCAGGACGAGGAGACCTGCTGGAACTCGGACCAGGTGATACACCCTCTCCCTGGATCCTCTACCCCTAGTGTGAATTAGAATCAGGGGTCTAGGGCACCCTGAGAATTTGGGTGCACCCCAGCTGGGCAGTTAGGTTGGCCAGGGAGGGAACCCGTGTTCACTGTGCTCCCCACCCACCATGGACTCTGTGAATCAGAGAGAGGCACAGCTGGGCTCTGAGTCTGGAGTGACCATGGACCTCTATTTCTCTGCTTCCAGGGCCCCTCCCAGTGGGTAATACTGGAGTTTCCCCAGCGCATCTGTGTCTCCCAGCTGCAGATCCAGTTCCAGGGGGGCTTTTCCAGTCGCCAGGGCCGCCTCGAAGGTACTGGAAGGCCCTGGAAGATGGGGGATTAGAGGGGGTACGCTGGCCTCACTGCTCCTTTCTCTGCTGCAGGTTCTCAGGGGAGTGAGGCTCTTAGCAAGATTGTGGACTTTTATCCTGAGGACAACAACTCGCTTCAGATATCCTGCCTCAGCCTCTGGGTGGGGTGGTCTGTGCATCTGAAAACTGTGGGCCCTGGCATGTGACCTCGAGCAACTGGCCTCTGGGTCTCCATTGCTTCACCTGTGAAATGGGCTGATGATAATCTGTTCTGTGTTAGAGTTTCAGAGGGACCCACAGTGTGCTGGGTCACCCAGCACATTTGTAGTACCTGAGCTTGGGCTGGTGGGTGGGAAAAGATAAGGCATCTGTTTCCCTTGACTGCCCTGCTTACACTTTCCCTGTGCCATCTGCTGAGGTGGACCGGCTGAAAGTGACATTTGAGGACGCCACTGATTTCTTTGGCCGAGTGGTCATCTACCACCTGCGGGTGCTAGGGGAGAAGAAGGTGTGAGGCCACTGGGTGGCTGCCTCCTCCAGGAAGTTCTCCGGGAAGCACAGTGAAATCCTTCAAGTTCTGCACAGAAGGTTTATTGGTTCCTCTTGGAAAGGGCCCCCTCCCACCGTCTGTCCAGGAGCTGCCTTTGAAGCCAGTTCTGGGTTCCCCCAGCTCTGGGTCAACCATTTTGTTCCCTGAGTGTCTGAGTCCCTGGCAGACGGTGTTCACTCAGGGGTGGCGGGCACCAGGTTGCTCTGGAAGAGTTTAAGGATGTGGTTCTCGATCACCTGTTGCACTGGAAACAGAACAGGGAAAAGGTGGGCCATGAACTGAACAGCGGCTGCAGAGGCACAGGCCAACCTGTACCTTCCCCTCAGGGTAAGAACAGGGGCCTCAGCCCTGGGACCTGGATGGAGGACCCATTTCATACACAGGGAAATCCAAGCCCTTGCCAGAGCACAGCTGGGAAGACAGAGGCCCCCCTCATAGGAACCTCTATTTCCCCTGAGTTTGTAAAGATGCATTTTTGGAGGTTTTCAGAATTATAAAAACATTCCTTACCAAACAAAATTGTCAAATTGGAACTTTTATGAAAAGATGAGAGGGACTGTGAGGAATTACTTGTCTCAAATGGAATAAAACTCCTTCAAGGAAGGAGTGGGATATTTCCCACACACCCCCACATGACCCCAGCGGGTCAGTTCTGTTAGGATCCCCCCATTTTCTGAAGTGGGGAGTCAAACTGGGGTCTGCCTACAGCCCCTACTCATACCCACCTCTCGCCGTGGAGGGGGCTGGGCTCCATGGCCATGTGAACTGTGGCCCTGCTGGTATCCTTACCCTGCCAGGGGGCCTCCTTTGGGCCTCTCAGTGCCTATATGTCCCCCCATTATGGCCCCTGTCACTAGCCCCATGTGCCTCGGGCTGACCTTTCCTATATCCCAGGGCCACGGCGAGGTCCATTGGGGTGTAGCCAGAGTCTGCCTCAGTGGTGAGATCAGCTCCTCGGGCTGCAAAGCAGAGCAGACACTGCAGAGAGGGCTGGGCCTGGGGACCGGGAGCCCGGGTGGGGCACGGAGACTCGGGAGATCCAGTGACTACCCACTGTGCAGCCACAGGTCTGCTGGTTGCTGTGTGGTCTTGGACAAAAGCCTGACCTCTCTGATGAACGTGGCCAATAGAATCTGCACCTCCAGGGTCTCTGAGGCACGCAGGGTGTGGGTTCTCAACCCAGTTGGCCAGATCCCTGTGCTATTCCTGCTACCTCCTGTCCCCACATCAATCCTCTGGGCAAAGCAGGCAGCAGCCACCCATCCCAAGAGCTGTTCAAGCAGAGCTCAGACCCTTCCCTGGCCCTCAGGATTCCTGCAGAGCCAGGTGGGGCTCTAGGGCCCCTCAGGCTAGCCTCTACTCCTACTCACCCAGCAAGGCCTCCACGCACTTCACATGGTTCCCACGCACAGCATACAGAAGTGGTGTCCCTCCATTCTGTCAGGGACAGGGGTAGGGGGCAAGCAACACTATCTTTTCCAGATTCTCACGACACCCCACACCCACCAATTTAATATGGTTCCTCCTTCTGCTTGTCACTAGGCCCATTTAGCTTCTCCTTTGGGCCTCAGCTTAGATGCCCCTTCTTCCAGGAAGCCCATCCTGACTTCCCTTGGCTCTACAGGCAGCCTCTGGGCTCTTGCAGCTAGCTGTCTGTGTATCTGCCAACATAGTGTTTGTTATTCACTATACCTGAGCTGTTTATGTGTCGGCTATCTCCACCCCCCCCCCAAAAAGAACTGGGAGCTCTATGAGGCGTGGGGATGGGTCTGTGTTGCGTTCTTAGCGCCCAGAGCCAGCCTGGTACCCTGTGAGGTGCCCAGGGCCAGTGGGTGGCACCTTACCCAGTCATAGATGTTGATGTCCACATCGCGCTCCAGCAGCAGCCCTACAATGTCTGTGTAGCCACCCGTGCTGGCCAGTGACAGGGCGCTCTCCCGCTCTTTGGCCAGGATGTGGGGGTCAGCACCCTGGGGGGAACAGAGGGGGACAGTGACAGAAGGGGGGCAAAAGGAGGGGTGGGTGCATCCCCTGCAATCTTGGGGTCCCCATGTTAGCTCCGTCTTACAGACACAGCACCAGCAGACTCAGCTGAGACCCTGGCCCACCCTCGAGTCCCCAGGAAGCCCCCAGCCGGGCTGGGACGCACCCATTCAAGCAAGAAGCGGACGGTCTCGATCTCTCCAAAGGCGGAGGCCCAGATGAGGGGGGTGAAGCCTCGCTCGTCCGGCTTGTTGATGAGGTTGTCTCCTGGCAGGAGGGGGGTGGTACCACTGGGATGCACCCCTGCCCACTCTCCCCAGTGCTGCGGAATTGGGGGCAGGGCAGGCAGCTGGGGTCAGATGTGGGGCGGGGAAGCGTACATGTGGATGCACACACGGACATGCTCAGACACACGTACAGACATAGGTACACATGTGGAGACTCAGGTCATGTCAGCAGCCACATGCACCCACCAGCATGTGAGGTCACACAGGCACGGACACACCGGCACACGAGCGTGGGCACACACCTTTCCTCAGATGCTCCTTCAGTTGGCTCAGCTCCCCCTGGGCCGCGAGCTGGTGGATGGACAGGGCTGGGGGGCAGAGAGAGGTAGAGTCCTCACCTGTCCCATCTGAGCTCCACGCCCCAGTTTATTCCTTGTCCTAAGTTGCTCCTCTTAGCCCCTGCCAGCCCGCTACTTCTCTCCCCCGTGGGGACCGGGGTCCCACTCACAGTCCAAGGTGGCCGGCAGGGCTGATACCTCATTCCCCCGCTGCCGGTTGGTGAGGGTCGTGGAGTGCTTTAGGGAGCTGCCTGCTGGGAGAGAGAGAAAGGGCCTCAGTTTCCCCTCATTCCCCAGTATGTCTTGGGCTTCAGACCAGACCCTGGGGGCTTGGAACTACCAGAGACAGTGCGTGGCTCCACTGTTCACTCACTCCATCCTCCCAGATACTCAGGGTGTGGATTTCTCCTCCACCCCTGAAAAGATTCTGCACAAACGAGACAGTCCCTGCCCTCAAGGGGCCCATGGACAAGTTGGGGAGTCAGACAGAAATGGAGAAATAGAGTGAGAGCTTAAGTTAAAATACGTGTTCAGGAGAAATGAAAAGCAGGTGGAAGGGGGTAGAAAGAAGGGAGGGCAGAGGGTGAGTCCCTTTTAAAGAAAATGGTCAGGGAGGGTCACTCCAAGGAGGTAACACCAAATGAGAGCTTGGCCAGTTGAAGAAACCTGGGGAGAGGTGTGGGAAGAGCATTTCACACAGGGAATGGTAGGGACAAAGGCCCCAGGGCAACTGAGTTAGACATGTTTAAGGATTCCAGTCAAAAGAAACCCTTGGGTCCTTGATAAGCCAAACAGAATTATCATCTGACCCAGCAATTCCACTCCTAGGTATCGACCCCAAAGAGTTGAAATCATGTGTTCAGACAAAAACTTGTACACGCATGTTCACAACAGCACTATTCAGTCACTAAAAGGGGAACAACCCAAATGTCCATCAATGCATAAATGAATAAACTAAATGTGGTCCAGCCATACTGTGGAATATCATTCAGCTATAAAAGGGACGAAGCACTGACACACCATACAGTGTGGATGAACCTTGAAAACATCTTGCTGAGTGAAAGGAGCCAGAACGGGAAGGGCCACATGTTGTATGGACCCGTTTATATGAAATGTCCGGAACAGGCAAATCCATAGAAACAGAAAGCAGATTTTTGCTTCCCAAGGGCTGGAGGAGGGGAATGGGGAGTGACTGCTAATGGGTCTGGGGTTTCCTCTGGGGGTGATGGAAATGTTCTAGTACTACATAGAGGTGGAAGTTATACACCATTGTGAATGTACTTACTGCCACTGAATTGTAAGCAATTCTGGTTAAAATGGTAACTTTTATGTTACGTGAATTTTACCACAATTAAAAAAAAATAATAAGCAACCCCTCACAGGGTGGAGATGGAAGACACATCCAAGGACACAAAGACAGAAGTCCCATCTTGGGCCTGACATCCCACCATTCTTGCATCCCAGAAGCAGGAGTCCAGGGTAAGTATCCTACCTTGAGGTGAGGAGGTACCAGCATCTGGTTCAGGATTCCCAGGCTCCGGGGTGCAGGGA